TTAGCTGGACGATAGGCAGCCTTAGCCAGATGATCGGTCGCATTAACTGGACGATCGGTGGCATTAGCCAGATGATGCATAGAACTAGTCGGACGATATATGGAGTTAACTGGACGATCGGTACTATTAACTCGATGATCGGTAACATTCAAGTTTGACACCTTACTATCATTGGCAACTAAAATCAGAAAGTCGTACAAAAATTTCATCTCATCATTACCAAGGCTTTTGTTTGCGGAAAAATGGTTGCACATGGAGCGAAATCGGATCTCGTGGTTTTTAATTTTAGCTAAAGTGGATTCAACATCAAAATCTTTGATTGTCGCATTTGGAAAATGAGATTCATTAGCCTTATTGGGCAATTCAATAATGGCTTTCATACTTTCATTGCCCACATTCAAAGAGACAGAGTTGTTTTTAAAGTCTTCTGTAAAATTACCATTTAGCAATTGCATTCGCGAGGAAGGCTTTGATCGCGGAGATAGTTGGGGAGAGGATTGTACTGTAAATTGAGACTGAGGCGGCAATGGTGCATATTTTCTAGAAAAAGAGGCTTCTTCAGAAGCAGGTCCTCGTGAAAAAGAAGAATGTGACATGGGTCTGGATAAATTGGGAGTGATTATGCGATCCAGAATCAAAGTCTCTTTCTTGTAAGCTGAGCTACCTTCTTTCATAGGTTTATCAGAGCTAAAATTACTTGGGTAAAATGGATCTTGGCGACTTTTAATTAAAGAAGGACACAACAGGAAAACGAATAAAGTGGCATCAGGAAAGAAAAGCAAAATTTCAAAAAAGAGCAAAATGGAAGAAACCAATTCTGCACGGTCAAAGCTAAAGCTGGTTGAAGCGATAGCATTTGCGACGCATACATCGGTACTTCCTGAAATAACTTGAGGCGGGCTAAACCCATTATTTTCAGATAGCACCTTCATCAGAGGCTCACCAGACTCCAAAAGCTTTCGTCTCCGTTCATGACGAAGCTGCCTCATATCGCATGGCGAATTGGATGCAAGCAAAGATGTCTGATTTTGCAGAAATATTTTCTCGCTTTCACGTAGTGCATTTGGATATGGCTCCAACATAGTAAATGTGGCAACTGTAATCGGAATAATTGAAAAGAAATGTATGACTTCCTGTTCTTCTTCGGAGAGCCCAGATGTATTAAGGAGAGCCAGTACAACAGAAAAAAGAGCTATCAAAGATCTAACTGTTTTTTTGATGAGAATACAAAGGAGCCTGTCCTTGATTCCAGAGGCATAGAAATAATATGATGACACGCCAAGAGCAAAAAGAAAGGCCCCATTGCTAATTAAAGGTGCTGACGGTTGTGCCTGGTTCATCTGGTAAAATCCATGGGTATTTATATCAGCACTTGACTGTACACTACCCGTACGATGCATAACTGGATGAGGTTGAAAGAATTGCCATGTGAAATACAACTACAAGGCGATTGGTAAATTAATTACCAAATAAAATGGTACATGTTATTTGAAGAATTAAATTCAAGGCTAAAATTTAATTTCATGTCAGCACCAAGCTCTGTAATTGTTCATCCTTTGGTGCTATTATCAGCTGTTGATCATTATGCCAGGGTCTATGGTGTACCATTACCTTCCTCTTTTGATGAAAAATACCAATCTAGCAAAAGTAGGAAAAGGGCTGTTGGAATCCTTCTGGGAAATTACGCTGCCTCCAGAGATGGGCAGATCACTGTAAATGTAGCCAGTTCGTATGCGGGTATTTTCGGTCATTTTTATTGCATAGTACCATTTGAGGAAGACGACAAAAATCCTGAAATTTGGTATTTGGACCATAATTTTCATGAGGCCATGTATGAGCTATGCCGTAAAGTCAATGGTACGACGATATTCGTCTAAATGTTACTTGTAGCCAAAGAGAAAATAGTGGGATGGTACCATACTGGCCCCATTTTGTGCCAGTCCGATATAAACATTCATACCTCAATTATGGCAAAGTATCGGCGATTTGCTTTCATTGTAGGTACACTTCCAACCCGATTCTGGTTATCATTGATGTAGCCCCGGAGAGCGATTCCATCCCAATCAAATCATACTCTTGCTTTGCAGATCCATCTACGTTTTCACATATTGCCTGCACAATTGGGGCAGAAGAAGCCGAAGAAATCGGAGTTGCTCACCTACTCAGAGACGTTTCATCTACAAAGAAACCATCAATAGAAAATCCGAGCCTCGCCATCAATCAGAAGGTGCCCATTTGTAGTGAGGAAGACACTCCCCCCGCATTGGCGCTTTTGTCTTCCATTGAGACTGAAATCGTTCCCCTTGCCATCAAGCATGACAATTTTATTTATTCGCTGTCGACCCTAGTGGACAATCTGAAGGCCATTGTTAAATTTTTGGATGACATTTCGACCGAAAATTTGCAGTCAAAAACGTTCATCATGAATCCAAAGATAAATTATCTGCTGCAAGATATTATTCACCTTTTGCCTTCGGCAGAGGATGACATTTCTGGAGCAATTGTCCAAACTTCAAACGACCGTGCCGCCATGACATATATTTCCACACTAACAAAGACAGTCATCGCTCTTCACAGCCTGATCGATAATAAGCTTTCAAACAAGACAGTTTCGGCCGCCTCATAATTGCAAATAAATCCTGAGATTTTCGTGCTCCTTTGAATTATAGAAATGGCCACAGCATGCCGAATTTTCACATGGCCGTCCATCAATGTACTATTGATGCTGCCTGTATGTTTATTGATAATCTAGTACACTGCTACTCCGAGCAGCACGAAACATATGCCCACTGCTGTGCGTGGTTTAATCTCATTCCGTAGGTAAAGGCTGCTAACCAATGTAGTTGATATCAGAGAAAGCGAATTTGCAAGTGTTTGCAGTCCGGCTATTTCCATTTTGTTGGACAAAAAGAAAAAGATAACGGATCCTGTCAGATTTACAAGAACACACAGCGAATAGTAAAGCCTATTGTTGATGTAGCATTTAAACAAAGCATCGGTGGTGCCCCATAAAAGCGCAACAAGGACAAGCAACATTGTAGCTTGCTCCATTATCAAGGGAATCTGCGAATTAATTGGAATTTGCAATTAGCTTTCCCAAGGGACAAGTAAAAAAAGGGCATACTCAAAACATGATGGCCATCAATTGGCATCACATCGGATGCTGTAAAATGGTTGCAATTAAATGTTGTGTGTGCACTTGGTGGCCGAAATCAACTGCAAAAGTAGCAACTGCTTTTAGCCAATCGAGGATTTATTGCCAAATGTGCACTTTATGCACTTCTAAACGCCCATTGAACAACACTCACACCGCTTGCCTTACTTGAGAGGCAAAACTAAACTGTCAACGAGGTAATTTGTTGCGTTGCTTGAGGGGGTGCTTATCTCAAGTAATTTGGCGACAAACGGAAAAAGATCTATACACGAAAATGGAGCAAACTTTGAATAAGGCGCTTGAAGTTGACCGGTTTTCCTTATTCTACCTCCGTGCGCTAGAAAAATGGCTTCCATTTCCGCATTAGGAAGAGGATACCCATGTGCACCAAGTGGTGGAGGGGAAACAGTCCGACTCGAAAAGTAATATGCTGGTTCGCATACGACAATGATGGGCGCTATCCTGTCATTATTACCATAATTCCATTCGGAGGGAAGTTCCGACTTTAAATACACCTTAAATTTCCCATGTTTGCGGGAGTATTCTGATAATTTACTATGGATCTCCTTTCCATCTACAGGGTTAGGAAATACTTGAATACAATCGTCTGCCAGCGGCCTTATAAAGGAAATGGTGTTATAGGAGACCGAAAAGGTTAAATTCAGAGGGAAAATATCTTCTGCATAAACGATATTTTTTGAGGGAACATGTGTCATCCCATGGTCGCTAACGACGATCAGGTTGATTTCTTCAAAAATATTCCTTGTTTTCAACTCTTCAATCAAAAAGGCAATAGCATTATCAACATCTGTCAGGGCATCGTTGATCTAAAACTTTAAATTCAATCAATCCCAACCTCTTTCGAGTTGGGGCCATAGGTATGGCCAATAATATCGGTGGTCGGTAAATAGGTTGCTATAAAAGACGGTCTAATTGATGGCGGATAATCAATCCATTTTAAAATGTTCTTCATCTGTTTTATGCTCCCATAGTTATCTTGATACCTAATCAGATGGGTGGGTATTCGACCGTTAATAACGGTCGTGCAGCCGGGCCAAAATGCAACGGCAGATGCTAACCCTTGCTCCTGGGCTATGTTCCAAATCTAAAAATAAGGAACAAAAGGATACCGGATTTGATTTCCACCATTTCGGATCTTTCATCGTTGGGTTCCTAATCATAAAATGATCTTTTAAATTTGGATCGTAAAATTCATTGTTGATAATCCCGTGGATATCTGGATATACGCCAGTCACCATAGAAAAATGGTTTGGGAATGTCAAGCTAGGAAAGATCGGATGCATATCTGAACTGATGCCGTCTTTTGCAAGCTTTTTAAGCGCCGGAACGCAGTGCCTGGTAAGATACTCTGAGCGGAATCCGTCCAGGGAAATCATAACAACAGTTTGATTCCAGCTTTTCCATTTGCTTTTATGTTTAAAGTTTTGGCTCTCAGCAGGCGTTGCCTCCTCATTTAATGAAACGACGTCTTGAGAAATGATATTTTTTAGCTTTAAAATATCGTCATCATCATCGCTCAATAGACGAGATAAATTGAAGTCGCTAATATTGTAAATAAGAAAGCCCAAAATTGCAAAGCAAAGGATAAAGCTCACGATCAAATATGAGGACAATCGATTTCTATGCCGCTTCTGAAGTCTGTTAGAAAAAACTACATCTGAATTATGGTCCGGTTTTGGGGGAAGGAATGAGCTCATACAAACCCGACACGCAGCGAGTTACTATAGAAATTAAATTTTCATTGGCCAAAATTCGTTTCAATCAAAATCCCAATACAACTTTGGGTGTTTTAATTTTAACTATGAACCATCAGTGTCCCATTGATCCAAGTATAGCGGGCTCATATGATAAATGTGTCCTTCCATCGGATGTCATCCCAAGTGACTATGTTATTGAACTCCATGTCAATCTTAATAGTTCCGAATTTTTTGGATTAGTAATTGTTGAGATTGCCATTGTAAATACCACCAATAAGATAGTGCTGAATGCCAAGGATTTAAGCATTTCTCGAAAATCATTGCTTATTATAGACTCTAAAAAGTAATTGTGCTCTCCATCTTACTCTATTAGCTATTACCCCAGTAACATTTTATACGACGATAAAAAAGAACAAATTTCTTTCGAATTTCTCAGGGATTTTCAAACAGGAATGAAGGGATCTCTTTATGTTTACTTCCAAGCAAATATAGGTGACAAATTAATTGGATTTTACAAGTCAACATATAATACAAATGATGGCACAATCAGGTAAGCCCCATGTCTTTTCCCCCACAACTTTAGACAACTTGCTTTAACAAAATTTGAACCAACACATGCCAGAAGGGCATTTCCTTGCTGGGACGAGCCAGATAAAAAGGCAAAATTTACCATTTCCCTCCAGGTGCGCAACCACCTCACTGCGCTTTCAAACATGAATGAGAATGTGAATGTCGTGAAGCATATTTCTCTCTCCCACGAAGAGGGGTGGAAAATCGTCAGCTTTGCCACGTCGGTAACGATGTCGACGTATTTGGTTGCCTTTGTGGTTGGCGAGATCGAGTTCATTGAAGCATTCACGAAAAATGGAAACATCCCCGTTCGCGTCTATGCACCCATCGGCTTCATCCACCAGGGCCACTTTGCCTTGGATGTCGGAGTGAAGACGCTCGACTTTTTCACCGAGTACTTTGGAGAATCTTATCCGCTTCCAAAAATGGACATGATTGCCATTCCAGACTTTGCCTCCGGGGCAATGGAGAACTGGGGCCTCGTCACATACCGAATGACCCTGCTGCTTTTTGACGACCAATCGTCAACGCTGAAAACCAAGCAGCAGGTTGCATATGTCGTGGGCCACGAGCTGGCCCACCAGTGGTTTGGCAATCTCGTCACCATGCAATGGTGGTCTGACCTTTGGCTCAACGAGGGCTTTGCCACATGGGCAGGGTGGCTTGCAGCCGACCACATCTTTCCAAAATGGGAGATCTGGACCGAATTTGTGGTGGACGACCTGCAGTCTGGATTGGCTCTGGACTCGCTCCGCTCGTCGCACCCAATTGAGGTGCCAGTGAGAGACCCGTCTGAGATTTCGCAAATTTTTGACTCCATCTCCTACTCCAAGGGCGCATCTGTGATCCGGATGTTGGAAGCATATCTTGGGCCAAAGGTGTTCCAAAAGGGCCTTCAAAACTACATCCAAAAGCATCTCTACTCCAACGCCCGCACTGATGACCTGTGGGCCGCCCTTGATGCGACCTCTGGAAAGGACGTCACCCAAATGATGGCGCTTTGGACCCGCAAAATTGGCGTACGCGTTGCTTTGGGTTTTACTTTTTTCTTAGTATCCGGTTTTGACGGTCTCCCTTCCCACACACTCGCCGTCGACACTTGTGGTGGAGCAGCATCGGTTCCTGTCCTCTGGAGATGTGCAGCCCATCGATGACGAGTCCATCTGGCATGTGCCGCTGAACCTTATTTTTGGGTCTCTCACATCGAACACACCGCCATCGACCGCACACCCGCTCGTGCTGATGGAGCGAAGGCGAGAGATTTCCATCCCAACCCTGGATAGCTCGGACAATTTCATCAAACTCAACGGCGGCCAAACCGGCTTTTACAGGGTTTCCTATCCTGCAGACATGATCGAAAAGCTTGGCAATGCCGTGATCGCCGGCATGCTAAGTGCCTCGGACCGGCTGGGGATTTTGAATGATGCCTTCAGCCTGGCATTTGCGCTGCACGTGCCCACGGTCGATGCGTTGGGTCTTTTGGAAAAATATGTTTCCGAAACGGATCTCATCATTTGGATGGAAATCAGCGGCCAGCTGAGCAAGCTGAGATCCATTTTTTTTGAGCATGCAGAGGACACTCGAGCTTCGCTTGCCAATTTGACGCTGCAGCTTTTTTCGCCGCTTGTTGAGCGTCTTGGATGGGATTTTTCCTCTTCAGATTCAGACAAAGTCTCCCTTTTGCGTGCACTAGCCATTTCTGTGTGCGGGTCAAATGGCAATCAGCGCGTGCTTGCCGAGGCCAGACGCCGCTTCGATCTGTTTGCGGACAAGGGAGATCTTTCCGCACTGCATCCGAACATTCGCGGGCCGGTGTTTTCGATGCTGGCCAAGTATGGCGGTCTTTCGGAGTATGAAAAGATTCACCAAATTTACGTGACCTCCGTGAACGTGGCAGATGCCAAAGTGATTGCCCTCTCGGCGCTGTCCTCGACCCGCCAGCCAGAGCTGATACGACGCACGCTTGAAATGGCGTTGGACCGTACCAAGGTCAAGTCGCAGGACATCATTTACATTTTCCGAAACATTGCCGGAAATGAAGCTGCTCGCCGCGTGACATGGGATTTTGTAAAGGCGCACTGGAACGAGCTACATGATGAATTCTACAGAGGCTCGCTTTCCCTGCTCTCCTCTGTCGTGGGTGCAAGTACCGGGATGCTCACCAAAATCGAGGATGCCATTGAGGTGAAGAAATTCTTTGAACAGCAAAAGGACGTCGCTGCCATTGCCCGTGTCGTTGAGCAGTCGCTGGAAAAGATCAAGAATTCTGCCCAGTGGATTGAAAAGGAATCTGCTTGCGTTGAGAAATGGCTAAAATCCAAATAAATTGCCCCCATGTGTTGCGCATTGCTATTTTCAAGCGGAAGAAGCCCGAGTTGCCTCCTGGGCCGGCTGTGCCTGTTTGAGTGGCTGGCCTGGGCCAACCCGGCGATCGCTCTCAAAAGGCCCACCTTGTTGAGATGCCCGGCCGAGAAATCACACGAAAAATCCAGAGCTTGACTTGTTTGCGCTTACCGCAAAAGGGTCTATTATTTTGAGGCGAAATTTAAATTGTTAGTTTACATGGAGCCATTGAAAGCGCCAGGGCGCATGGCTGATTATTATCGGTACACATGCCCCCCCATTGGCCAATAGCTAATTTTTGCACATTCCGCACGCCAATCAATAGTTGTCAACGGCATGTTTGAGCTAGCAAGTGAGCTTTATTTTACATTTTTTGGCGATGCACGTTTCCAGCTCCATCGTAAGACGAGCAGTATGTGTCACCGTTCTCGTGTTTTTAATCGTTGTGGCTCTGGTTTTGAAAAGCCCGACATCGTCTGGGGAGCCATCAACTGCGGCTGCAGCTGCCACGCCCAGTGCCATCTTGATCCCCAAAGTCGAAAACGCCTCCTCCAAAACATCGCGGATAATCTCACTCCAAAAACAGGACTCATTTATGTGGCTAAAAAATTCCATAAAAAAGATGCAGACCCACTATACGGGTTTAGATGGCATGCTGACTGTAGCAATTACAGCGTGTATTTGCATCGCTACGCTACTTGCGTTAAGAGTTGCATATGGTCTGGCCGTTCCGGCACGTTCTCGATCGAAGCATCTTCATACTTATATATTCAAGCTAGCTGGGATATGCACGGTGATCGGCTTTAGCGCTTATTTCATATCTTCCACAAATTCCTCCACAAATTCCCCCACAGATTCATCCACAAATTCCTCCAAAAATTCCTCCACAGATTCCCCCACAGATTCCTCCAAAGATCAAAAAGCTGAATACAACAGAGCTAATGGATTATTCTGTAATTTCGCAGGTAAATATCCTGATTACACATGGAGGTTGAAAAATGTGACCGACTTTTATGTTTTCTTCAATGGGTCTCAAGATAGGACGTATTTTCCTTCAGCATTGAAGCCCATGTTTTACTTTCCCAGGCAGGATGGCTTTTTTACTGCAGAAAAAATCCCGTCCAACGAAACTAGCAGCCCACCCAAATGGATTAGGTCTTTTTATTGCACCGAGTCTATCGAATCATTTCTCAAAATCTTTTTCATTTCTAGAGGCTTTGTTAATAACAAATCTTTTCCTGGGGAAACCTTTCGTGATGAATTAGATCACCACATGAAATGTGTTGACAATCGACAAAGCTTTCTTTTGATCCTTACGGAAAACTTGGACTCTTTTCTCAAGAACGACGACGAAATATCCCAGTTTTTTGACCAGAAAACTCTAAAAAACGAAGATTTAGTACAAAAGTTTTTCAAAGGCAATTATTCAAATGCTGCTGAAGAGGAGCAGAAACTACGGTATGCTGTATCTACTCATTTCAAGAAATGGGCTGATCATGCACTGGTGCCAGCTGTAATTCAATCCCATGGTGTAAATATTACCGTGAAAGAAGACAACACCCTTTCTTTTAAAGGGGCAAAAGGTAAAATCTGGGAATTGGGAAACTATGTTGCTAAAAACGATTCAAATTTCACCTTTTCGCTTCAAGGCTTGACGAGCGGTGTATTAAAGATACCCATTTTGGGTGAAAAGCTCGAACCTTTAGATCTGCTCAAGGGAATATATATTTGGAATCAAGATAAAATGGATAACTTGGATCATATGAATATGAATATGAAGGCTGCACAGGGCGCGTTGATTGATGCAAGTAATTCCACAATTACGCTATTGGGATACATGTATCGGAATTTAACCGCCAAAAATAGTTAGTTCGAAGTTTGTTGGTGCGCCAATCGCCATTAAGAGGGGTCTATAAAATTAAAATTTAAAATATCAATTCCACATGCAAGCATTGAAAGCCGAATTAGAGGCGAAAAAGGCATCACTTGAATATACACGCTCAGAATCACGTAAATTGTACGTTGCAAGAAGAGATATTGAAAAAGAGCGCGTGAACTCGTATCTATCTGCACATGAGGAGCGCCAATTGGTCAAAAAGAGATGCATTCCCCCACAAGAGACTGTTCCGTGTCAGCCTATTTCTTCTGCAGAAAAAAAGGAAGCATTACCCCACCAAGCTTCTTACAGCAAAGCTGCAACGATAAAGATAAACACAATTGAAAATTCAGAGGAGAACCGATTTTCCACGCTTCTTTTCGAGCATCAAGACACACTTTCTCTCGATCTCAAGATGAACAAAGAACACGGCATGACATCACACGAGTTCCTTTTCCTATTTTTCAAGTTTGTTCATTTTAATTTCTCACATTAGAAAATTGCTACTAGAATGGGAAAAGGCCGAGATCCGGCAAGAACCAACCAACGGACAGGTGCTCCATCCTCAACTGCCCCACGAGCATAAGCCCAGGGCATTTCCGGAAAATCAAATGGCCCTGAAGGGCGTCGAAACGAAAATGGACCAGCCTGAATCTTTGCATCTGAAGGTGATTAGCGAATTGCAGCCTGTTGTCAGGAACAAGCAGTTTCTTTCCGAAATTTTTACCCAAACCAGCCAATATTTGATGCCGTTTTTTGTGCTTTTGCAAGAACAAAATATTCCGGACTCGGTGATTGAACACCTTATGGAGATTGTCGGCTTTTTGCAGACGAAACAATATGTCAAGGCAAACGACGCCTATATACGCCTCTCAATAGGTAATGCGCCATGGCCTATTGGCGTAACCATGGTTTGTATACATGAGCGTTCAGCTCGGGAGCGTATTCACTCGAATCAGGTAGCACATGTGCTAAACGATGAGCGTCAACGCAAGTGGATCCAGTCCATCAAGCGGTTGATTTCCTTTTGCCAACGCGCATACCCACCTGCCCGTATTACGCAGGCTCTAGGCTAGCTATAAATACCGCAGGGTCTCGTCTCATTTGGAAATCGGGGGGGGGTTTAATTTCCATTTCGCTAGCGTTCTGACTCCGCCCTTTGATTTGTTTTGGTCTAGTTGTATGATTAGTTTATTGAAGGCTCCTTGGTTTAAGCCAGCGCGCCTGTATGAATGTGCGCTCGAGATCGAGGCCATCTCTCGCGTTCACGGTCCGCCGCGTGACGTACCTGTTTTCCAGGACTACAAATCCTGCTCCTGAAAAAAGCGCCTTCGCGTACTCTGCCAATAAATAGTAAATGGGCATGTCAAATGGGATCGGTGAAGGGTATGGTTAATGGTAAAGTTAGCCCGAATCACGGGTGATGATAGGAAACATAAAAAGTAAAGCGTGGAGGCCTACCTGCAGAAAAGAAGAAGGAAAGCGTCCCATCCTGCCGTACAAAAGTATGTTCGTCAATTTTTCTGTCCTCTTTAAAGCGGAGCTGTGCCAAATCATTAACTGCATAATCGCGGAAGAAGAGCACACTACCTGGCCGGAGGAGCTAGGATTCAATGCAGAAAGGCTTACCTCAAAGGCATTCCGGACCACTAGATTATGGCTGGCTGGAGGTACTGCTGAAAGCATAAAGACGAGCGTCGCGAGTGTAAAGCTTGGATGCATCTTGGTCGTGTCAAGTAGGGAGTAAAAATTCTTCCATGTTGGGGCTGGACTGGCATCCAAGCACAGGCCTTGCATGCCAAAATTACAGTTAATGTCTTGATTCTTGTGCATGGGAAGGCCAAGGGCCAATTGACCCTGAGAGATATCTGTGGCAAAATCAAAAGCGGCCACCCAAAGCCGATGTGCAAACCGCTCATATTCGGGTGATTCCATGATCAGCTTTACTGCCTCTGTGGATATCTCGACACCATAGCAACGCAGCAATGGAAACTCTCTAAGTAACGGAAAAAGCAGATTCCCTACACCACACCCAATCTCAAGCAGGAAATGACCTTCCCCCTCTCCAGACAACTCTGCAAATTCAGTACCGAGCCAGTGACGATCACGGAAAAAGTGGTCCTTGTTACGACGATAAAAGAGATTCCAGCTCTTCTCACCACACTCAGAAAGGTATTTGGACGTCCAAAATGGCGGTATCACCATCACTTAAATGTACAAAATTTATTCAAACTTCGGACACCTCTGATAAGTGCGCATCCTTCAATTGAGCCGCGGCTATCGACCAAAAATCGGTGAGCCAAAGATCAGCATACCAAGGCACACGCTAATGATAGATGGCAAAAGGAAATTTCAATTTCGATGCCACGACCACCGGGAGTCTGACTTGGTGACCATCAGGGTTAGGTCAGAATTCAGGATGCCATCGTGGGTCCACGCCAGAAATATCTTGACAGGCCTTCGATGCCTGTGAAATGAGCTCGACGATAGGTGCATAAAGTGAGACTGGCAGTGGTTGCTTGACCTTGGATTCGCTCTGGACGGTAGCTTGGGTTCCGGCTGCTGTTGATCCCCCATCCTGAATGTCTTCTTGGGAAAAGACGACCTGGCTCACGTAAGCAGAGACATGTGCAGAAATGATGTCCTTTTCTTTCTCGCAAGCAAGAACTTTGATGCGTTCTAAAGCCCCTCGTGCATGAATAGAGGGACCACGAACCCGTTGCTCCATCGTTGGCTGGCTACCAGCTAGAAGATCAAAGAGATCGCTAATTTCTTCAGAGCGATGGGAAAGTTCATCCGCAAGGGCATGCACGGATGGCACAAAGAGCCCATCTACAAAAACACGGCCCAAGAATGTTTGCAGTGCAGGTCCCATACGGAACACAAGGGGAGCATGCAGCACACGCATACCCGGTGCTTGGGTATCATAACGCAGCGATGAAGGGTCAATTTTGATAGCACAAGCAGAGTTGGGCTGCGTCGACATTTCTTGCGAGGCATTTGGAGCCCGTTCAGTGGCTGATAAAGCCAGTTCATGTGCCGTAGCGTCAAGACGCTCAAACAGCGCAGCGCCAATCCAGGAGAGCCGACCGTGCGCCAAAGGGCCTAACCCAATTGAGGCTAAATCGCGCTGCCGTACGCTTCCCAGGATGCTCCATCCCGTGATCAGAGCAGCCCATTGTAGTGCAAACGACTTGCGATAAAGCCAATAGTCTTGAGAATTGGCCAGCCGTGCAGCTACGAATGCTGCCAGTACTGAGGAACACGCCATCTGTATGTCCTGTTCTTTAGCCGGCGTTTGGGGCTTCATTGGCCCTGCCGTTGCAATTTCTACTTCCGCCGGCTGAGCAGCGGCGCCGGTGGTCGTATTTAAGCATTGAGCCATGGAGAGCGGGTCTACAATGATGTCTGGAGATGCAAGAACAACCATGCAGGATCCATTTCCATTCAGAGCATCAGAGGCAATTAGTGGCAACAAAGATGAATTCCACGTGAGCAGCGGAGATGCCCGTTGGCGAACCAGACGCCCCTTTGAGGCAACTCCGCCCAGCATCCAAAGAAGCCGCGATGCTGTGGCCGCACCAAGTATGGCATTGACCCTTTCGGTGTCATTAAAAATGGTAATAGCCCGCACACTGCCATCACTAAGATATACCACAAGCCCATAATGACCATCTGTTTGGCGCAGGATGGCACCAAAGGAGTCGATTTTTGTAGATGATGCCCCAGTATCGCCTTTGCGTGGTAATACCAAACGCTGACCAGGTAATTCGAGCTCATCATCCATTGGGAGACGTGGGAACGAAGAAAGCCAACGCGAAGTTACATGCACAGGGCTCACTACCACATTGCACCGTTTCTTTTTTGAGGGCAGGTGATTGTTTTTCTTTGCCGACATTAGGCTGTTTTGCACTTCCCCCAAAAAGATGATCATTGTCTCCGTGGCCAAAGGATGGACTGCCCGTAGCATAGACAATAGCGCTGCCATTTCGTCTCCATTAGAATCCAAAGCTTTGCTTCGAATACGTGCTGAAAGCGGATAAAAGAGAAGATTCGGGAAAAGGCGTCCAATGCGCTGCAATAAGCTTCGTAGCCTGGAGCCTAGCTCCATGGTTGAGCTAGAGCCCGGAGAATCTCGCAAGTCATCAAGCATTTCTTCCAGAAACGGTAGCCACGGAGCCAAAGGAAGCTCTGCCAAATACAGATCAAAAATGCCTGCAAGCTCTGGCGCCATTCGCAACATCTTCAAAATCATAGAAGCAAGTAACAAAGCTTGACTGTGCGTGCACCCATTGCTCAGTCCAGAGCCATAGCGGAGATCCTCAGCATCTTCATCGCAAAAAGAGCGCTCATGCGAAGATGAGTTTGTCCCGTTTGGATCAGAAGAAGAGGCAGATGCCACAGAAGATGATGCTGTTGAAGGATCATTGCGTCTTTGGTTGGCATTTTGGTGATGAGACGCAGAAGAGGAAGAGGATGTTCCAAGAATCATTGCCTGCAAGTAACAGTGAATAGCATGCATTGCAAATGTTTGTGCGTTAGGCTCCTCCGGATACGGTGTCAATGCAGTAAATGAGGTCAACGTCGACGGAGAGGTTGTCCCCAGTGAAGTGGCGGATGTGATATTCAGCGAACATGGTGGTGGTTTTGCTAGGCCAGGAGATCTTCCAGCGGTCAATGAGGATTCATCTGCGGAGCACGTGCCAGCAGCTTCCACGCCCAAATCATGATTTTCTTCTTCTTTTTTGGCGATAAATGCACGGAAGCGGCGGCGATTATAATGACCCCAGGCAGCCCAGGCGCGTCCGTGGTTGATGTCCAGCTGTACTGCTTGCGAGTGAACCTTGTTTGCTTCTTCAATTCCGGTGAGGTTAAGAGCCTCCAAAAAACGGCCTTTAAGGGAAAAAAAGTCCGACTTTTGAGAGGCGCCAAAGTATGCCAAATTTGTAGAGTTGATAATCTCAAGCCCAGCTACAAGCAACAACGTTCCCGGA